ATCATGATTGGTCCTACCGTGCCACCCACTCCGTCCCCCCACCAGCGCCAGCCCGCGGGGGCGGCTCCAGCCCCCCCGCAGGGCACCGAGCCAGTCAGGCCGCCGCGCCCCGTCCATGCTTCCACTGTTGCTGGGTGTGAGGATGCGGCTCGTCCGACCTCACGGGGCGTGGCCCTAGCGGCTCCAGCCCTGGGGCCGCGTGTTACCCTCCAGTCACCTCTCAAGGGTGACGGCAGTCAGCACACAGGATGCCGTTCTGCGCCAGCCCACCACTTGGCCAGGCGCACTGATGACCTCGCCCCTGCCACGAGGCCCGAGACCGCTGACACTGAGCAGCCGCCCCGCGCCGACCGCGAAACCGAGCTGTCCCAGGCTATGGCCGCTCTTCAGCAGAGGTGCGCTGCTCTCGCCGCGGACCTCGCCGCTGCTCAAGCCCGTCAAGGCCCTCTGCTCCAGCGCCTCCACAGCGCCGGGCGTGCCTTCGCCGAGCTGCTTATGCCTTCGCCCGATGGTGCTGCGCCGTCACTCACCATCCAAGCTATGCTGTCATCGCTCCGCGGCGCTTCACCTGGTGCCCCGCGCTAATTTCCTCCTTTCTGCCTGCCCGTGTGTACGCGTGGCTCCGCGTCCACGGTGTCAGGGCGTGGGGGCGGGGGGTGCCCCGTCCCTGCGCGCCGCTTTGCGGCCAAGCGCCCAACTGGCGGTCTGCCAAGCCGCCTAGCCACGTGTCAGCACGTCGCCTTCCTCGTTGGGGCCCTTCTTCTTTACGCGGTCTGACAGGTGAGATCTTCACCGTCTGTCCGCCGTCTGTAGCGTCTGTCGCACTGCGCCGGGGGAGGGGGTTTTTGTTGCCCGCCCTCGTATCTAAAGGCTGCACCGCCGCAAATAGTGTTTAGCGAGTTGTCGCACCGCAGTGCGCCTCGCGGACGGACCCTGGTCCGCCTACTTGTCCGCTCTCTCTCTCTCTCTCTCTCTCTCTCTCTCTCTCTCTCTCTCTCTCTCTCTCTCTCTCTCTCTCTCTCTCTCTCTCTCTCTCTCTCTCTCTCTCTCTCTCTCTCTCTCTCTCTCTCTCTCTCCTCTCTCTCTCTCTCTCTCTCTCTCTCTCTCTCTCTCTCTCTCTCTCCTCTCCCTCTCTCTCGCTTCCTCTCTCTCTCTCTCTCTCTCTTCTCTCTCTTGCTCTCTCTCTCTCTCTCTCTCTCTCTCTCTCTCTCTCTCTCTCTCTCTCTCTCTCTCTCTCTCTCTCTCTCTCTCTCTCTCTCTCTCTCTCTCGTCACGGGCTCGTGAGATCAGCCAGGGTGGCTCCCCCTTGGGGCTCCCAAATGATGCCCCTGGCAGCGTTTTGTGACCATGAGGCTCTCAAGAGATACATGTTGGGGAGGCCAAGCGGCAATTCTAGCTGAGACGTCCCACCAAAATCGGCGCGAACGGGCTCGTGAGATCAGCCAGGGTGGCTCCCCCTTGGGGCTCCCAAATGATGCCCCTGGCAGCGTTTTGTGACCATGAGGCTCTCAAGAGATACATGTTGGGGGCGCCAAACGGCAATTCTAGCTGAGACGTCCCACCAAAATCGGCGCGAACGGGCTCGTGAGATCAGCCAGGGTGGCTCCCCCTTGGGGCTCCCAAATGATGCCCCTGGCAGCGTTTTGTGACCATGAGGCTCTCAAGAGATACATGTTGGGGGCGCCAAACGGCAATTCTAGCTGAGACGTCCCACCAAAATCGGCGCGAACGGGCTCGTGAGATCAGCCAGGGTGGCTCCCCCTTGGGGCTCCCAAATGATGCCCCTGGCAGCGTTTTGTGACCATGAGGCTCTCAAGAGATACATGTTGGGGGCGCCAAACGGCAATTCTAGCTGAGACGTCCCACCAAAATCGGCGCGAACGGGCTCGTGAGATCAGCCAGGGTGGCTCCCCCTTGGGGCTCCCAAATGATGCCCCTGGCAGCGTTTTGTGACCATGAGGCTCTCAAGAGATACATGTTGGGGCGCCAAACGGCAATTCTAGCTGAGACGTCCCACCAAAATCGGCGCGAACGGGCTCGTGAGATCAGCCAGGGTGGCTCCCCCTTGGGGCTCCCAAATGATGCCCCTGGCAGCGTTTTGCGACCATGAGGCTCTCAAGAGATACATGTTGGGGGCGCCAAACGGCAATTCTAGCTGAGACGTCCCACCAAAATCGGCGCGAACGGGCTCGTGAGATCAGCCAGGGTGGCTCCCCCTTGGGGCTCCCAAATGATGCCCCTGGCAGCGTTTTGTGACCATGAGGCTCTCAAGAGATACATGTTGGGGGCGCCAAACGGCAATTCTAGCTGAGACGTCCCACCAAAATCGGCGCGAACGGGCTCGTGAGATCAGCCAGGGTGGCTCCCCCTTGGGGCTCCCAAATGAAACCCCTGGCAGCGTTTTGTGCTCTATCTTATCTTATCTTGAAATCTCTTATCTTGTCTTAGCTTATCTTATATCAACTCATCTTATCACATCATATCTTGTCTTATCTTATTACTCCATAGGCTGTCTTATCTGGTCTATTATCCTACCTTGTCATATAACTTATCTTACCTTATCATATCTTGTGCTATCTTATCTTATCTTGTTGTATATTATCTTGTCTTGTCTTATCTGGTGATTATCATTGGGAGGAGGGAGGCGCGAGCGGGAGGAAGGAGGAGCAGTGGGAGGCGTCAGAGTAATAACAAGAACCCCAATCCTTAGGATATGGGGAATAACATCGTTTAGGCGCATGCCAAACTAGACCATATTCCCCTCCTAGCCCCGTTAACTGAACAGAAGGAAGGAGAGCCAAATTTTTTGGCGACGACAACGAGCACAGCCGCAGGCTCTCCGCCCACGCCCGCCCCGGGCCGCTCCCCAGGGGTCGCCCTAACGGCGCCCACCCTCCCTCCAAACAAAGATGGCCCTAGGGGTCCGCCAAAGAGACAGAGGAGGGGCGAGGGGCAGGGAGCCGAAGCGGAGAAAGAAAGGCGGGCCCGCCATCGCCCCGCGCAAGACCCTGGGTGCCCAGCGCACTAATCACAGTAGCGCGGCACCGCAACTAGCTGCAGCTGCAGAGGGGTAACGCGAATACTAGAAACAATATTGCGGAAAACAGAATCCGCCCCTCCGGGGGCACTGCGGGGCGGGGCTGCGGAAGGCCAACTCCCCGGGCGCACAGGGTCACCACTGCGGCGCGCCGGATCCAACACCGCACCAACCGTTCCCACCGCAGCTCTTCCGCTCCCCGGAGGGGGGCCTTCCACGGGTTACATCAACTGGGCGCCGTCAAAAACAGCGGGTTCCCCCAGATTGGAGCCCGAGGGGTTCGCAAGGCCGCAAGCTTGGTGCCAGCTGCTTGCGGGAAAAACAGGCATACGGTGAGGGGGTAACACCCCTCCGCTTACTCATGCTACGGCCAGCCAGCCATGGCTTCCACGGGCATCCCCCCTCCCCAGCTTTCCGTCCCGCCACCGGGTGGGGCTGGAAGGGGGCTCGCGCGGCAGGGGGGCAACGCTGCTCCCGCCGGGGCTCCTCCGGGTCAGCCGCGCGCGTGGTATTCTTCCGGGGGCTCCTCCCGGAACTTGACCCGCCTCCCTTCCTTCTCGGGTGGGGTCTGCCCCAGGCGGTTCGAGCTTCCCGAGGTGAGGTTGTAGTTATGGGCGGACATCGCCTCCGAGAGGCCTTTCTAGGGTTCGTGCGCCTCCCAGAGGTACGCGTGGAAGGCGCCCGACCTCCACCTCCCGAACCGCTTGAGCCGCCCCAGGTCTGGCATGGCGTGGTACATAGCCGCGGCGCCTCCGATCCTCAGGGAGTGGCTCCCGATGTGCGAGGGGTGCATCCCCACCGCCTTCGCCGCCTGGCCCAAGAGGTCGGTGATGTCTTTCCGCCGGATGGGGTTCCCATCCCCGTCTCGGAAGAGAGGGGGGTCTCCCTCCGAGGTCCACCGCTGGGGCGCCAACCTCTCCAGCTCGGCGAGGGCTCCGACAGGGCAAAGGGCGTTGCCCGTGGCGTAGTGGTTGCGGCAGCATCTGAAATTGCACTGGTCGGTCTTGCCCCCCTTGATGTAGATAACCACCTCGTCCGCGGACGCGAAGGTGGGGCAGACAGCGCCCCCCCTCCTCGGGGTGACATCCCTCCCGAAGAGGACCCGCTCCGCCGCCCAATCCCCACCCCCGGAGGTGTCGGCGAGGTACTCGGAGGCGCGCAACATAAAGAAGAAGGCGGTGGTGAGGGCGGCCCAGGCGGCCGCGTCTTCTACCCTCCCGGTGTCCAGCTTCCCCCTTAGCCAACGCATCATCTCAATGGTGACAGGGTATTTCTGGTTCTGCTTGGCGCCCATCCTCCGTAGTCCCCCCAGCGCCAGCGCGAGCCTGGGGGCCAGCTCCAGAGGGTCCGGGTATCCCGCCGCGAGATGATAGTGGCGGACCGCCATCAGATTTCCCCGGATCGCCCCCTCCGGGCGATGCTGGACATGGGCCAGGTGGACGATCCAGTCCAGGAGCACGTCCTCATCCTGCCGCCGGCCCTCCCTCCCCAGCCCCGTGAGGAGCGGGCTCCCGCCCCGGGCTTTGAGGAAAAGGCGCCACTGCCTCCACGCCACGGCGTAGGAGGTGCGCGTCCCCTTTTGCGAGGTTGCCGAAGATGAGGCTGTCCCGTAGGCGCTCCCTCTCGTCCGCCAGGTGGCCTCCCCCAATCCGAGGTTGCCCCCCCTCCGCCGTCAGCAGAGGGCACTGGGGCCCCGCCTGGGTCTGGGGTTTCCGGCCGCGAGGCGCCGCCGTGAGCGTCTCCATGACCTCCTCCTCCTCCTCCTGGGCGAGGCGCCTCAGGCGCGGGCTCCTTGCCCCCCTCTCGGCCCACGTCGCCCCCGTCGGGGGGGCGGTGCTGGGGGGGGCGAAGGAGTCCGCAATCCCCCGCGTCCGGGGCCCTAGCAAAGGGGGAGCGGGCCCCGCCGAGTGGGGGCCGCCCAGCAGGCCTGCACCTCCGCTCTGCGGGGCCCCTCCGGGTGGTCCTCCAGCCCGGGCCCCGCGGGCCTCTCGGAGCCACCGCTCGTAAGCAGTCCGGGGGTCCTCGGGGTTAGCCTTCCAGGCGCTGAACCACGTCGCGTTGGCCGCGGCCATGAAGTCCTCATCGGGGTCTCGGCGCACCCCTGCCCGGGCTCCCTTCGCGAGGAGGCCCTCCCTCGCGCCGGCCGCTGCCCACAGCACTTGGCGCGCGGAGACGGGCGGCATGGAGCGGGCGGCACCCATGAGGAGCACCTCCTCCGGTACCCCCGCACGGGTTCCCTCCCGCCAATCGTGAAGGAGGCCCCCGGAAATCTGCCAGGCCCCCTTGGGATCGAAGCGCCTCACCCGAGGGGTGCCATCCCCCCGCGTGTCTTCCAATAGCACGGGGTAGTGCCCGGAGACCTCGTCAGGGTGCCAGAGTGGGTCAGGCCCGCTGCTCATCGGGCTAAGGATGACCCTGACGTCTCCCTCCGACTCCCGGGTGCTCTTCCAGGTCCCGGCCGCCTGGAGGGCGGTGGGGCGCCCTCCCTCCCCGCGGTCGGCCCTCTCAGGGACCTTGAAGTGGCGCCAGTGGGCCCTCCCCTCCTCCTCCTGCATGTAGAGCTCCGGAGGGACCGCCTCGGGCGTCAACAGGGCGCTACTGAGGTTCAGTGGGACCAATCGCTCGCCCCGCCGCAGGAGTGCGAGCGCGGCGCTCCCCCAGTTCCCCCCGTCTCTCCAGGCAAGGACCTGAGGAGGCGGCGCGACCTCGCGCACCGGCCCCCAAGGAGGTGGGTGTGCACTACGCTTTCCGCAGTGTCGTACCCACCCTCCTGCAAGACCTCGCGGGCCTCTCCCAGATCCTGGTCCAGGGGTCCGTCCAGCACGACGAAGGTGGCGGCGTGGGAGAGCGCGTGCCGCACGAAGTAGAGGGCCTCTCGGCCGGTGGGGTCGCTGCCACTGGAGCAGGTGACCCAAGTCTCCTTCACCGCGGTCCTGGCCCGCCCGGCCCGCTCGGCCACGAGTCGATTCTGGTGGACCTCCCACCAGGGGTGGCTCACAGCTGAACCGGGATTGGGGGTGGTGGCTCCGATCCGTGCCCCCATCTCCCCGGCCACCCGGCAGTAGGGGGAGAGGGTCGCACGCCACTCGAAGACCTGCACCCCGGCCAAGGGTCCGGCGGGCGGTCCCCGCGCCCGGCGGCGCTCCACCAGCTGGTAGGCCAGCCGGCGTCCCTCCTCCGAGTCTCCAGGGAGGACCAAAGGGCGGCCTTTCTCCGCCCCCGCGAGCACTTCCCTCCAGGGTCCCTTGAGGTCGATCTCCTCCAAGCCGAGGCGGTTCATCTCCTCCTGGACTACGCTCCTCGTCTCCCGGGAGATGAGGTCCACGCTGCTATTGTGATTTGTCAGAATTCCCGCCGTGACCGTGTGGAACCCGTGGCGGGTCTCCAGGAGTTGGAGGAGGCGCAGTCCGTAGCGGGCGAGGCGGTTCTTCGCCGTCCGCATGTTGAGCCAGATCTCCGTGTTGGTGTTGTCCGTGACGTAGAGGACCAGGCGCCCCTCCCATCTCGGGGCCTGGGCCACCGCGAGCACCAGGAAGGTAAACAGCTCGCAGATGGCGATGATGTCGGCTCCCTCCCCAAAAACCGCGTGGAACGGCTCCATGACCTCCTTGACATCCATGACCCCGTACACCCCGTTTGACCTGTCTGCGGCCCCCACCCGGGTCTCGGTGGCGTCCCCTCCGGTCCAGACCAGCTCCTCCATTCCGCCGGGGAGGGCGAGCCGCTCCTGGGGTTGGAGGACCCCCTTCAAGCCTGTGTTAAAGTGGGTGGTCCAGGCCTGGGGCGCTCCCGCGTAGAGGCGGAAAACTTCCAGCGCCTCCCACCACTCGTCCCACGCGTCCTTCTCCCTCCCCTCGCTGCTCTCCTTGATCTTGACCCAAACCCCAGCCGGGTCCGCAGTGCGGAGGAGCCGGTCTACCGCCCCCAACTCGGGGCGGAGGGGGGGGCAGGTGATGGCCGCGAAGTTGAGGGTGCCGCGGAGGACCTGGACATCCTTCAGGGCTACCTGGGTGTTCCCCGTGTCGTAGGCCGGGTCACTCAGCAGGATCCGGATCTTGTTGACCTTCTCCTCGGGGAGCCGCAGGGTCTCCTCCTCCGTGTTCACGTGGACCCCCAGATCTGGTCCACGCGGAACTCTCCCTCCTCGTCCTTCTTCTCTGCGTTGATCGCAAGAGGGCCGAATACTCTACGGGCCCCCTCCTCGGCCAGCCTAGCGGCCGTCCACGGGCGCCGTCCCAGGAGGGGCTCGCTGAGGACGTCGTCGTCCATGAGGAGGTGCGAGTGGTGGGGCACGTCGTCGTGCCATCCTGGGTCGGCCGGCCGGTGGCGGTCATGGCACTGCTTCAGGGCCGTCCCGAAGGCCATGTACTCCCCCGGGCCCCCGATCCACCCGAAGGTGAGGACGAGGTAGATGGCCACCAGGTTGCCCTCCATCCCGACCACCTTGCCAGGGAGCTCCGTGGCGAACATGCCGGCATCCTCCGCCCGTAACCAGATCCAGCGGAAGGCCTCCGCTATGTCCCGCTTGGCGATCAGGATTTTTACCCCCGGGTGCCGCTCCTTCCACCAGGTGATCTCTCGCGCCAGCCCCCGATGGCGGGGCTGCAAGGCTGGGGGGTGGAGGTACTTGTGCCCCGTCTCGTTCATCGCCCTCTGGTCGTGGATAAACCTTCCTTCCTCCGAGATCGTGCGGTCGGGGTTCATCTTCGGCACCCTTCCCCAGGGGGAGGAGAGGACCCCGCTTAGGTAAGGTTCCGAGTCCTTTCCGCAGAGGAGGACCCTCCCCCTCTTGGCGTCCTTCCACAACTTCTCCATCGCCTCCTCCATGTGCCCCTGCACGCTCATGTGCGGTTTGGAGGGGACCCGAACCTGGGCCAGCGGTTGGCGGGCGGGAACCCCGCCCTTCACCATCTGGTGAAGGTAATCCCTGAGGTCGGGGTCGAGCAATTCGCATAGCTCATCCTTGAAGACCCCGACCAGGTTGTTCCCCCACCGGCTCGTCCAGGCCTCTCGGTAGCAGTCGACTGCTTCCTTCCAGTCTCCCGCCGCCTGGACTAGGCCATCACCGAGTCGTGCCCCCTCCTTCACAACTTCGGGGGAGTACTTGGGCTTGTCCGCACATTGAGTGCACAGCTCCTGCGCCCAGTCCTGAGCGGTTCGGCCCGCTCTCCCCGGCGCCTGGTTTCACGATTCCGTCCCGCTTTCCAGGCTGCCAGCTGCCCGTTGGGGAGGCATCCAGGGCCCCTCTCCCTCCCCATCTTGGCTCCCTCCCGCATCGTACCCTTCCTCTCCTGAGGGCCTGAGTTTACCATCTCCCGTGGCCCCCCCCCCTCTCGAGGGCGTGGTGGGCGGGTGTTTCGTGGCCGTCCAAATGGCCAGCGCCACGGCGCGGGCGAAGCGCGGGGGGTATTGGGCGGCTTTCCTTGTCCGCTTGATGCCTGTCCCTGGGACGTTATCCCTGAGCTCCACGTGCTGGTGCACCGGGGAGAGACCGGGGCAGGGTCTCCGGAGCTTCGTGAAGAAGGGGGCCAGGTTCGCGGAGACGACCAGCCAGTACCCCTTGCGATAGAACTGATGGGGGGACGAGGCGTCTGAGGGATGGAGACCCCAGGCGCACATCGTTCCCGGGATGATCACGGCACCGGTCTCCTCCAGGATTTCCAACCACTCGGGGAGGTCGTAGACCTTGGGATATATCCCTCTGTGCTCCTGGTTCTCGAAGATCCATCCCTTCCTCCATTTATGAAGGTTCCGCATGCACCTTACCGTGGTCTGGGAGAGGGCGTTTCCCAAGACCTCCTTGCCGTTTACACCGGTCCCCTCCGGCTTCTCCCAGGTGCGGGTGCCCCCTTTGGTGTTGTGGTCGCAGAAGGAGGTACACGGGTTTTCGAACATCCACACGTTGGCCACTCCCGGGCCCGGGGAAGTATCTGCCTCTTTGACCAGGGCCTCGGCGACGTCGGGGTTCGAGAGGTCGTGGTCCTCCCTCCACTCCGACTCCTTGGGGTGCAGGGGGTTCCGGTACAGCTCCACAGGCTCATCCGCTTGGATGCCCAGCTGCTTCACCGCGCGGGTCACCCCCGCGGTTCCCGCGAACACTTCCTTGAAGCGGGGTCCCCAGCGGAAAGCGGGCGTGTCCCCCAAAGCTCCGGGGTGCTCCGAGACGAGCTCCTCCCACAGCTGGAGGGCGGCCCTGATTGCGGGTGCCCGGGCAGGCTCTGCCGTTGCAGCCCTCCGGCCAGCCCTGAGAGCCGCCTCCCTCGCCGCGGGGCGCTCCCCGCATGCCTGGCACTTGACGTAGGTGCTCCAGGAGACCTCCGTGCCTCGGGCGTCGCGGTTGAGGAACTCCTCCCAGCCATTCATGATCGTGGCCTCCCTCCGAAGAGCCTGATGGAGGGCTTTCAGGCACGCATCCCCTTTCGCTTCTCCCGAGGTCGGGGCTCGGGGGCGGAGGGCGCGGGCGTGCCCCCGGTGGATCAACATCCAGGCCTGAGGTGAGCCCTCCCCGGAGCGGGCTCCTTCCAGAAGGTGCGTGGTCACTTTTCCACCGTAGTCCATCATCGCGACGTTTAGGACGACATCCTCCAGGAGGCGGAGGGGGAACACGACCAGGGCGCGGTAGTCCTTGTCGTGGTGTGGGGCGGCCGCGTCGTGGATGAAGATCCGGAGGTCCACCTCCCCGACCACCAACTTGGCCTCCGGAGGCCCCAGTGATTCTTCCGCCCGAACTGCTTGGTCCAGCTGCTCCGCTCTGGCCGTGAGCGCGCGCGCCCAGACCTCCGAGAGGCTGGGCGGCCCCCTTCCCTCACGGGCCCAGAGGGCGGCGCCCACCGCGCTCAGGAGGATACACTGCTTTCTCTCACAGTCCTCCTGGATGCCCAAGCGCTCCGCGAGGAGAGGGTCCTCTCTGAGGGGGGGGCGGTCGTGGAAATCGAGCGCGTCCCACTCCCCTCCATCCATTTGGAAGGTCCCCCGCCCTACCCCGTCCCCCTCGTCCGGGGCTTGGAGGAGCCGTGCGTAGCCCCTGCGGTCTGGGGGGCGGACCCCCCCCCGGGTGCCGCCGGGCTCAGGCGCGAGCCGATCGAGGCAGTCGGCGGCCTCCCTGACCAGCTTCCAGTTGGGTCCGTCCACGATCCTCCGGAGTACGGCAAGCACCCCTTCTGTCGCCGTCGAGGCCAGGTGCTCCTCCAGGAGGTGGTTCTTGACCGCGGTCTCCAGGTGCCGGGAGGGCCCCCCCTTGAGGAACTCCCGCACATCGCCCAGAAGCCCCGCGATGCAAATATTTCGAGCGCGCCCATCGATATCGGTAGCGCTTGGAAATACATCGCGCGCGATGCATTTCCGGTTTTTCGAATTTCGATCGCGACGACGAGAATTTCGAGCGCGATGCAAATTGAATTTCGATCTTGGGAATCGCGTTTTGCATCGCGCGCGCGCGCGCTCGAAATTGCAATTTGCATCGCGCGCGTAGCGCCGCGCGTCTTGCAATGCGCATGTCGCGCGCGCGACGCAACGACGCCCACCAAACAAACGCGACCACCGACGCACGCCAACCAAACCCGACCCACACGACGCCCGCTAACCCAACCCACCAACCCAACCCAAACGACGCTTGCCAACCCAACCCACGAACCTGCTCAAACGACAACCCACCGAACCACTAATCCAACCAAGCAACGCCCGCCAATCCAACGCGACCGTGGACTCCCGCCAACCCAACCCGCGACCAAACGACGCCCGCCAACCCAACTCTGACCACGCGACAGCCGCGCGCCCAGCGCTGCGCCCAGAGAAGGAGACAGAGAGATTGCGATCGAGAGAGAGAGAGAGAGAGAGAGAGAGAGAGCGTCCAGATGCGAGATTTGCATCGCGATGTCCCGCGATGCAAATGTTTGCATCGTGGGGCATCTGGGCGGGGAGAGCGAGACGCGGCCACCCGTCTCTGCCTGCTTGCAGGCAGAGACAGGCGGCCGACTGCCTCGGGCCCCGCGCGTCTGCAAACGCGCGGGGCCTCGAGCAAACAAAAAAAAGCGCGGCCGCCTACGCGCCCGACTACCGCGTCCGACCTGCGCACCCGCCTACAGCGCCGACGTCCAAACGGCGCTCCGCTACCATGTCTGCGGCACGCTCCGCTACCATGTCTGCAGCGCGCCCCGCTACCAAGTCAGCGGCGCGCTCCGCTACCAAGTCAGTGGCACGCTCCGCTACCAGATTTGCTAACCCCTTATTGGCTACCAAACATGCTACCCATTCTGCTACATGCCGCATCTGCGATTCGCTCCGCCACGAAGTCTGCGCCCCGCCCCGCTACCAAGTCTGCGACCAGCTCCGCTGCCAACTCCGCGGCCTGCCCCGCTACCAAGTCTGCGACCCGCTCCGCTACCAAATGCGCGATCCGCTCCGCTACCGAGACAGCAACCCAATACGTGACCATTTGAATGCTCGGTATTGAGCATAACCATCTGTACGTCTATCTGATATGAGGCGTTGTGTCAGAACGCTTGGGTTCGGCGCAGGTGCCGCCGAGGATGACGATGATGAGGGCGACGAGGGCAACGAGAAGCGGGCGGGAGAAACGAGGGGCAGGGATGATGGTGATGATGATGCTGATGATGATGAGGGCAAGGGGGTCGACGCGACGAAACGACGAAACGAGGGCAGGTGGGCGGACAGCCTCCATCAGTTAGAGTGGTAGCGTCATAATGGTAATGTCGGCGCTTGCGGTTGTGATCTTGTTGCGGGCAGCGATGGTTGTGTTCTTGGCCGTGACGCTTGATGGAATGACATGGTGCGTCGCTGGTACCATCCAGACGGTGATTGTCGGCGTTGCTTGTACGGTGGTGATAAAGGGTGTGACTTTGACGATTGTGAGGGTGGTGGCGGTAAAGCTGGTGCTGCATGTCGAGTTAGTGGCTGCGTCGACAACGGCACGCGTGGCGGGCGTCGGTTCGAACCACCAGAATGCATTGGGTAGCGGGCGTGAATGCACCCAACGGCTAGGAGGAGATGACGATGACGATGATGAGGGGTAGGAGGAGGAGGAGGAGGAGGTGGAGGAGGAGGAGGCGGAGGAGGAGGATGGGGGAGGGAGAGGAGCAGGAGAAGGAGGAGGAGGAGGAGGAGGTGGATGTGAAAGGGGGTGGAGGACGAGGATGGGGCGACGGGGGGACGGGCAGAAGAGGGGGAGGCGGGGGAGGAGGACGACGACGACGATGACTGCGACGACGGCAGGCGCCCCCCCCAATTGTTCCGACCTCTCGCCCCCCTCTCACGGGAGCCACTTCGTTCAGTGCACAGCGCTTTGCCAGCAAAAAGACAGCGGCTGCGCGGCTGCAGATAGAGCGGTGCGTTGAGACGCGACGGTGGTGGGGGGCGTATGTTTCTGTTGCCTTATCTCACTCCTTCAGTTCCTCCTCTTCCTCCTCCTCCTCCTCGTCTTCCTCCACCTCCTCTCCCTCCTCCTCCTCCTCCTCCTCCGCCTCCTCCTCCTCCTCCACCTCCTCCTCCTCCTCCTCCTCCCCCTCCTCGTCCGCTTCCTTATATCCCCTGCCCCCCCCCCCCCCCCCCCCCCCCCCTCTCCTCCTCGTCCTCCGAACCCTCATCCTCGCAGTGCTCTTCGGCCAGCTGCTCCTGTCCTCAGTGTCTCTGCCCTCGTCTGCCCCGCCCCCTTGCCCCGCCCTGCGCGCTGCCGCCGCCCCGTTCCCACCTCCAGTTCACCCCCCCATACCATTGCCGTTCTCACCACGGCCGTCTATCTCGCATCATCGCGCAGGGCGGCGTGCCCGCGCGAACTGATTGGCAGCACATGCTGCCTAGAACTGGCACCCTCGCACGAACTCCACATCCACCAGCCCCAGATCGGGCAGCACAGGCAGCGAAGCTATTCGCACGTGCAATTGCAACGGGAGCGCCCCCCCAGTCATTCTAGCAACCAACCAACCAAACAACCAATCGTCCAATCAACTCAACATATCCAGCATATGCAACCGTGTTCGGGGGGGGGGGGGGGGGGGGGGGGGCGCGGCTGCATCAGCGCGTCGCCCTGTATGTTTGCCAGCCCTCACTTTCTCTACGAGCTTGTTCGGCACATCTAAAATAGTTGTACCTATTGCGCAAGAATTTGCTGTAGTTGATATGTGCCGCTGAAAGTCCCCCCCCTGATATGTCCACGCATGCCGCGGGTTAACGAATGTGTCGTCGACCCCTAGGTGGTAGAAGAAGTGGAATCTGTTTACTATGCTCCACTTCATCTTCCCATCGTTCGCCGCGCCGCGAGCCAGCGAGCTGCACAGCGCAAGGAACGATTTGGTCGCCTTCGCCATGCGAGCTCGCTCCAGAGCTGTGGGAAACACGCCTGCTGAATCACAGGCGTCGTAGAAGCGAGCAAGGTTGCGGATGCAGAGGGTGCGGGATCTCCAGCCCACGTCCCCAGGACGGTCATAGTGTTCACACAGATTCGCGATGATTGGAACTAGAGCCCGACACTCAGCGGCTTTGACGCTGCTTGATAATTTGGGGAAGTCCGAGTGGGGGTGCCGCTGGTCAGCGAGGAACATTTTCAGCCCGAAAGATCCGCCTCCCTGGGGCGCCACCGCGCCAAGAGACGACGAGTCGCGAGACTGGCGCCACACGCTGGTTTGTCACCGCAAGCAACGGTGCTGGACCTACATGCCTATGTCGGGAAATGATATTCTATTGGCGGTGTCGAACGCTGACGGGGGGGCATGAATTGGTGGACACCCCCATCGCATGCATGGCATTGGACAAGCGGAATCATGCGGCGGAAGCCGTGGTACGTGAGCCTGTGTTTAGTGCCGTGCGTGTCGTACATGTCGTGTATTTGGCAACACAAGTCAGAAAACGTTGTCTTGGGATCTCCTCCGATGCGTTCGTCCACTAGCTCGTAAAATATGTTCCCAATCACATGCTGGCTCACGCCGAGATCTAAACAATGGAGAAGATCTAAGCACAGTGTCTGATGTGTCACACCAGGAATGAGTCTGAATATAGGGTGGTCTGTCCGCACCAGCGTGGGGCCACACCGCGGCATCGTAGACCAGTGCCCAGGCACTCCAACCTGGAAGCGCACTATTTTTGTCGCACAGGCGGGGTTGAGGAGTAAATGGAGTAATAAGAATGCGAGAGGGGGGGAAATCATAAATTAAAACGCTCACCTGTGAAAAGTTCGTCCACGACCTATCTGTCGGAGAGCGATCTGCACGACAGCGAAAACAGAACTCATTGGAGCTGTTGTGCGGCATCCCGAAATCTTTAATGAAGTAGTCAAGGTCACCTAAGATGCCATATATGAAGGCTGTGAATGGCCATCTCTCGCTGCACAACAACTTCCCACGATCGTGCCACCGCTGCGA